TTGCTTATAAAGTTTGCACTTGCAAGCTTTTGAATTCTCAAGAGCTATTCCACAGGTGACATGTTTATCAGGTTGCTAGTAATAGATAATGAATTCAAAGGCATTTTCTGCAGTGACAACTGGAATAATTGTTTAAAATGACACTGCCTTTGCCTCTCCCCCGCCCTCTCTCTCCTGAATTACTTCCCATCAGCACTGCCATTAGACCAAGAAAGCAGAAAGTTTTGGACAATAAAAGTAGTCATTGACTTACAGTCATTTGTTTAGTGATTGATCAAATTTACAACAGCACTGAAGAAAGTGACTTATGACCATTTTTTACACTTATGACAATTGCAGCATCCCCATGGTCAAAATTCGGACGCTTGGCAAATGGCTTATATTTATGATGAGGCACCTGTCCTAGAGGTGCCTTTTGCAACATTCTGACAAGCAAAGACAGGGGAGAAGCCATATTCACTTAACGACCATGTTACCAACTTAACTGTTGAGTTTAACTTAACAACGATGGCAGGAAAGATCATAAAATGGGAGAAAACTGACACCACAACTTCCTACCTTAGCAACAGAAATTCTGGGCTAAATTGTGGTCATAAGTTCACATCGAATTGTACCCCAAAGTTTTTGCTTATCGATACATTTCCATAAAAAGAGTTCTGGGTTTTTCTAAGCCAGGGGTGTCAAACTCACATCATCACGTCACATGATGTATCATAACTTTTTTTTCTCCTTTGCTAAACTGGGCATGGGGGTGGCCAGCGCATGGCGCATTGGGCCCTCACACCAGGAGTTTGACACAGGAGCCCTGTTCTAAGCCAATTTTTTTTTGAATCTTGCAATTTGCAGAATGAGGAGCTTTTACCAAACCACCTGTTAAATTTCTAGTGTCTGCAATTCTCAATGTACTTGCTTGACTTTTTCTTTCTAAAGAAACTTCTTAGTGCTTCCAACCTGATTAGCAAATGGTTCTCAATTCCTTGACAAGACAGTGGAGAATGCCTCTCCCAGGAAGGGCTATACAATCTGAATCCCAGCCAGCGTGCGGTATAAAAACACAATTACAAGCTTGATGGATGTCTCACAAGCTTCCTACTTTATCCGGCTTGACCTTACTGCATTATGTAGCAGAATCAATGACGTGATTTTATTATTGCAAGGGAGAAATGTCAAGGATTTATTGATTTAATATTTTTAAATTTTCTGAAGTCACACAGATCCAAAGGCCACATATTTCTTCCAAACAAGGATCTATGTTCTTTTTTCTTTTTTTAAGTTCCAGTGGCTTGATGCAATGGGGTGCCATTGCTCCTTAGGACATGAACTTACTTGGTCAAGGGTAAGCATAGCATGAATTCACAGAAAGGCCAATCAGAAAAGAAGAAGGAACTGTAGATGATACGGAGAACTCTGAAGTTTGCTCAAGTACCAACAGTAGTCCTGGCTGAGAAATTAACAAACAACAAAGAATCTGGACAAAAACTCAAATTAAATAATGTTTATTAATGAATCAACATTGTTTAATGATACTACATTAATCAATTTATCTGGGCTAGGGGTTTTGTATTTGCTTATTTCCTGTTTTTTTTATTTTTGTAAGTAGCTGTTCTGACCAAGGCTTCCTGAGACATTAATAAATACACGTTAATCCTAAAAACCTTTTGGTTTATTTCGACGGCTGTGAATTATAGTCATTCACAGCCTTTAATGAGTCTCAAACAGTTTGTAAATAGTCCCACAGAAGTTTGCCAAAGTCATTCGGGATAAGTCTGATAAGCATGCACCTTTATCTTTCTCGAAATGCTGCCAATGACTAAATTTCCAATTAGTTGTACAAGACCAAATGGAGCACAAATTCAACATGGAGCTTCAGGTTTCAAACTGGCCAGTATGAACAAAGTTGCTTCCTGCAAAGGTTCATGTCCCTTTGCTCCTCCTTTATGTTTTATGGGAGGGCCAATCACCTCCAAGCCTTACTCTGGAATTGCCCCTTTTGTCTTAACTGCTCTTGCCTTCTGGCAGCTCTGTGCATGTGTGCACTGGGAACAGGCTCCCCTTGTTTCTCTGCCTCACTGCTGTCAGGTTCTGGAGGCTCCGGAGTTGGCACATAATTCTCAGATGGCCCTGGTGCCATCTGTGTGTTGGATGCAGATCCCTCGTCCGAGTCCTCCCCAGATTCCTGGACTGGCCCATGTTCCTCCCCACTGTCCAACTCTGCTGCCAGCTCTGCAGGTTGCTGGTGGACCACAACAGTAGCTCAAGATAGTGAACATGCTTAATATACCTTTCCCTTCCTGTTTTCCCCAGAACAACCTGGTGAGGTGATTGGGCTGAGAGAGAGGGAATGGTTATCCAGCTGGCTTTGATCCTTGAAGCCAGACTAGAACTCACCATCTCCTGATGATCTGCCCATAGTTACCCAGCAGTATTTCATTCCTAAGGCAGGATTAGAACACACTGCCTCCCAATGATTGGCCCAAACTCACCCTGCCAGTTTTCATGCCTAAGGCAGGACTAGAGCTCACAGTCCTCTGGGTTTCTAGCCTAGTGCGTTAATCACTTGACGATACTACAGATAGAACTAATGAGTATCCAAATACATTCAGTACTTTAAATTCTAGACAACTACAAAATACTGGAGGAAAAGAAAAGAAGGGAAAGAAAAATGAAAAAGAGGTTTTCCACGGGAGAAGGGAAAACAATCAAAAGTCTTGAAGACTGGTGAAAACCCTGGAAAAAGCCATTTTTTTTAGCAGGTGCAACTTTGCATCTCAAAAACTTTACTCAATATAGTACTAGCTGGAAAGAGGAAAAAAAGAGAAACTGGCTTGGGACTCAACATATTTTTCATTTATCTTCCATATGGTACCTCCTCTGTCTGACATAGATGGCTTTACCAAGGCAGAAATGAAAGGATTGGAATATGCTCAGAGCCATCTCAAGGCTGAGCTTGCATTTCAACATCTCCCCCGTAGGAAGATAAGGAGCCTTGGCTGTCGATAGAACTCATTTGAGTTTTGTCTTCTGTTCATGCTAAGGCATAATATCTGTTCTGTTCTGTTGATTTTGCAATGTGGACGTTATCAGTGAATAAAATGGACGCGATTTAGAAAAGCAGTTTGCTAGTAGCAAGTAATAAATCCATGGGTAATATTGGTAACTACAAATTGCTGAATAATTGCCTTTTTAACTGAGACTTTGTTCTCCATGCCAATGCTTTCATCAAAATAGCCATGCAACGTACGTGGAGTTAAACAGTAAAATCTAGTTTTGGAGATTTGTGCTAATGGATGTTTCCAAACAGACACAAAGGCAACAATCCTGAAGAACATCAACGTGTGCACCACCCTTTTAAGATTATTTTTCATGAGATGATATTTTATACTAAAGTTGTTATGGTGCTACAAGTCTATAATTTTAAGTATTTAATTTTACAATGCACGTGCATTGTGTATATTTTTCAAATTCACATACTTAGAGGCTGAAACCTGGGTGCTACCATGTGGATGAGTTTGAACAATTAATCAGCTTGTCTTCAAATGTTGTGGGTGCTCCATCCCTGGAAGCTTTTGAGAAAAGATTGGAAAATCATTTGTCTGAAGCGGTATAGGGTTAGAAGATCTCCAAGGTCCATTCCAATTCTGATATTCTGTTATTCTGAAATCTGTTTAGGAGAGGACTAGAATAAAGACCCCATTCCTCAAGAAAGGAACATGTTATGATCTGGAATTCTGTAGCAATAATGGTCCATGGACTCTACACCTTTTCCCTAATCATATGAAATTATTTCTTAGATTTTTGTAGGATCTTTACAATAGTCTAGATGTAATTTGTACATTGATGGATGAATGTTCTCGAATCAACAGCTGTAAGACATGGTTCCTGGATGGATTAATAGCTTTTGGGAAAAACAACTTTTTTTCCCCAGAGTCAGGCTTTGGCTAAGTGAGTGACAAGGTACAGATGTTCAATTGCAAGGCAGGCACAGCTCCTTCTGAAGTCATGGCACTCACCATGCTTTATAACCTGTTTTTCAGGTGAGCTGTTTTCCATTAGGGTCTTTGCATAGTGCTATATTATTTCATCCCTCTCAAGATCTTAATAGGATCTTGTAACCTTTTTCAAGAAGGCTTTAGTACAGTTGAAAATGAGAGAGATAGAAGCAGTCACAGCAACGGGCTTCCCATCCCTTTTAAATTTACATTCTGCCAGACCAAGGATGTAGTCAGCTGCAAAGAGGAACCAAACATATGATGTGGTTACTCTATCTGGGCCGTAGAAGTCATGACAACAAATAGTAGCAGTTTAGAGGTTTTTTTTTTTGGTCTTTTAATAACCCCATAACCCCTTGCATCAGGGTGGAGTCAGGGCAACTGAATGGAACTGAGTGTTTACTGGCCAGATGCCCTTCCTGTCACTAATGCAGAGTTCGCAGCAAATATAGACTCTGTCAGGGTTGCGATCAATGCCTTAATAAAATTAAGAGTCTCAAGCCATTTAGCAAGAAAAATCCAGTTGTATATTAGGAGCACTGTGTCATGCCTTGCCTCTGATCCAGTTTCCCCCTCCCCCCAGATTGTGTCACCAGTCACATTCCCCAACAAAGCAATTTCGCAGGTTGTAGAAGTCACCCCCTCCAGCCATTGCGGGTCTCTGTGGAAATGGCCTTGGCTTCAGCCAGCTAGGCTGTGTTTTGTTTTGACTGAGGTGTGAATTCCTTGGTGCAGCTGTGAGGTGTGATTTCCCATCCCCCTGCCTATGGCAACTCGGGAGCAGGTCAGGAAAACTTCGTGAGTTGACAGACTCATTGTGTCCAGAGAGAGAAATATCTGCCTCTACCTAGGATCAAACTCACAGCCTCCTGATTGTGAACCAAGGGCTCCACCTCTAGGCCACTGCATCAGTAATCTGCTGACATCTAATTATCATCTGAATTTCTGTATCCCAGCTCTGTAGAATATGGTTGTACCAACTAATTCAGGAAGCATTTTGATTAGACCTTTTGTCACGCCCCTGTCAGAGTCTGAATCCAAGGAGGAAGATGAACAGCTGACAAGGAGTGGAAGTGTGGCTCCGTTAGCTGTGGAGGAAGCTGGTAAAGGGCAAAGTCCGGCCGAACTCCCTCTCCCACAAGGGAGAGGGAGTTCAGAGGAAGACCAGGCCCACCTCTTCTTCATCCTAGGGCACACAGGGAGGAATGGAGAAGAGAGCAATGTGGGTTGCATGGCTTACGGGAGAGGAAAGGGCCTTGATTCCCTTCATTAGGCACAGCTGGGAATGAGAGTTTAAAAGAGATGCAATCTGAGTGTGGCATCTGCTGGGAACAAATGTGAGTTTATCTTGTGTTGACTTTGGTTATCTGTGTTCCTGGCATCCTCCCAACTGTGTTGAATTATTGCCGTTCCTTCACATCTGGAATTCCTTCTCTTGCCCTGCTGGACTAATTACCTCATCTTGCCTTGATTGGACTTATAGTTACAGTTTTTGGACTTGATTCTCTGCAACCAAAGGCTGTTCCTGGGAGAGTTTTACTCCAGCCCAGAAGGTAACCAGAACACTGGAGGCAAAGTTGGAGCTAGTAAAGGGACTCCTACTGATCATCTCATTGTGTTGCCTTTATGTCATGCCCCAGTCATCAGGGTCATCACACCTTTCACATCAACTAGAATGGATGGATAAATAGCTATTGTGGGAAGATTTGCTTTAGAGCAATATTCTCAACCTTGGCCACTTTAAGATGGGTTTCAGTTCTTCAGCTAGCAGGGGAATATTGGGAGTTAAATTCCACACATTATACAGCAACCAAGATTAAGAAACACTGTGTTAGAGTCTAAGAATCTTTTGCTGCCAGAGAAGACACCTTTATTCTTGGGGATTAATCATCCATGTTAGATTTTTAACAGGACCAACTAACCACAAATTCTGAAGTCTGAGATCTTATTCGAGAATAAAAATTTCTTCCCAGTTCCCTTTTTTTTGCCCTATTGAAGGAATTGCAAGTGTGCATGACCAGTGAATGATTCCAGTGTTATCTGCGTATTGACTACCAGAGGATGCTTGACTGCTCAACACTGAAAAAAATGTTTAATCCTAGTTTTGTGCAGAGTAAAGATTACAGTATCACCATGTTTGATTGGCTGGGATTGGCTTGTGATCCAAAGTGTATTTCCCCTTCTTTCTTGGTGATGCATTTTGTTTAATTGAAGGAGATTGCTGAAAGTTTTTTTTTTTTTAAAGCTTGGTGAATTTTGAAGGTAGTAATGTCTTTTGCCAAAGTGAAATTTTGTATGTTTTCTAAATTAATGTTTCCATGGATTAATTTACTTTTTCTTTTTTCACTGGAGATTAGTTTCTGGAAGATCCGCTCTGGCTGATTATATTACTATATCAGGTTTCATCATTACAGATTTATCCACCATCACTTTACATAATGTTTTGAATTTTAGTTTTCAGTAATCCTTGTACCTATGTAGATTGGTTGAAATGTGATGACAATTTATGATTTATGCCAAAGTTTGGGATGAGGGAGCAGACTGAAGTCCCAAACTTACCTGCAGCTCCTAAAAGACTTTGACAAAGGGTCCCAGAGCCCCCTCTAAACCTTTTAATATTTATATGGAGGCCCAATGTGGAAAACAATTAAGTATAATGGCATGCTCATAAAAATTGCATTTAATATTTCAATTTAATCTGAAATTATAAATTAAATCAGGCTTTGATTTGGGGATAGTTTCCATTCCCTTGCCAATCTTTTGACCCCCTTTTTGAAAGCAGGGATTTTCTGTTTTTAGAAAGTGTACAGTCTTTGGGGTGTTTATCTGTCACCACTGTATTATATGATACGGTTTCATTGTATGTTGGGACTCGTCGGATGTATATAGCCATCTCTTATTTTCAGAGTTCACCTGAGGTTCCATTTAAAGGGTTTGCATCCCACAGAAAAAATCGGGTTACATACGTCTGAGGAGTTCCAATATGGGATGAAATACAGGTGAGGTATTTTCTCCTGATAGCAATAGCAAAAGCACTTAGACTTATATGCCACTTCACAGTGTTTTTATAGCCCTCTAAGCGGTTACAGAGTCAGCATATTGCCTTCAACCTTCAAAGGGTCCTCCTTTGACCAACCTTAGATGAATGGAAGGCTGAGTCAACCTTGAGTCGCTGAGGATCAAACTCCTGGTAGCCAGCAGAATTAACCTGCAATACTGCATTCTAACCACTGCGCCACCATTGCTGCTCTCTAAATGGAGAAACGGCCAATTCTTCTTTGCAAAGGAAGTGACGATATTTACAGGATGCAGCAAGCCTGTAACATAGCTACCCTGTGCATGGCCACCCAAGTCCAAATCTCATTCTCCACTAAGACTGTATCCTTCCTTTCATTGCATGCTCTCTTTCTTGATAGGAAACTGCTTCTTTCTTCAGTGGTTTCCCTTGATATGGCCAGCATAAGCTGGATACCAGAAGTATTTTGACTTTGGTGAGTCTTTCATTAAGCATTTCTGGGAGAGAAAGCCTTCTTAACTGGTTTAGCAAAGGATTTTCATAGAACTCTTTTGAGAATTGGAAGAGATTTGCTACACACAGCATTCTGGCAATTGGCATGGAGAGAAGCCATTTTCCTTCCTCTGGACAGGAATCACATTAGAATTGCAATTTGATTAAAGAATTGCATTCTTTTAGTCTTTCTGGGTTTTTTTTTTCTAATTGACTTGGGCTTTGATGGAATGTCCTAGTTAATTTCCTTATTTTTAGAACTCTCTTTTTTTGTCTCCTCCAAGAAACAATGTGCTTCATTAAATATTACCACTTGATGTGCACTTCGGATCTTCCTTCCTTCCTTCCTTCCTTCCTTCCTTCCTTCCTTCCTTCCTT